CTCTGGTTCTGTGCTTTTCTCTGTCTCTGCTCGGCATCATGTCTGGCTCAACCCTCTCCGATAGCACCTCCCCAGCCGAAGAACCCATTATTACTTTTAATCCAGCTGCTCAATTGCCTCTCACGCTTACCTCCACCAACTTCAACTCCTGGCGGTCCCAACTGGAAACGCTGCTCATGGGTCTCGACTTGATCAATTTCATCGACGGCACCGGGATCGTCCCTGCACCCACTGTCACCGTCGACACCGCAACCAGTCCCAATCCTTTGTATCGACGCTGGTTTCGTCAAGATAAGCTCATCTTGCACGCCCTTCGTTGTTCAATCTCTGAGTCTCTTTATTTGTTTGTCTCGGGTGCTGCTACCTCTAGGGAGGCTTGGTTAATTCTCTAGAAATTGTATGCTGGGCGCTCTGGTTCGCGCATCATTGATCTCAAAGGGAAATTGTCTCGCACAGTCAAAGTGGAAGAATGACGTTCTGACCTTTGTAAATGAGTTGAAACAGACAGCGGCGGAGCTTGCGCTTGTTGGCGTGCCAGTTTCTGATCTTGATTTGGTGGTGCACTGTCTTCGCGGGCTCGGTAATGATTATAATCACTTCGCAGCGGCGGTGCGTGCTCGTGGAACCACCATCTCAATTGAAGATCTCCTTGATTCTCTAATTGAATACGAGCCAGATTTGAGCGAACAAGCTCGCACTGCTGCTGTGCCCACTGCTTTTTATTCCCAGGGTGGCTCGCGGTGTTCTGCTAATGGCGCTGGTGGCTCTCATCACGGCGGCGGCGGACCCTCCTCACCTCGCGCGATGTCACGCCCTCAGCAGGGTTTTCTGTCTGAGTCAGGCCCACCCTCCCCATTGGGCCGTCCGCATCACTTGGCCCATTCCTCAGCTGCTAGGCAAAACAATACCCGCCGGCCCACTCTCATCTGGCAGTACTGTGAGCGGCCTGGGCATTCGGTCCGCCAGTGCTTCAGGCTCTTTCCTCAGGCCCGGCAGGCTTTTCACCAGGCCCGTCAAGGCCAGGCTAATTCTACCCACGTGGGCTCCGCCTCCTTCGCTGGACCTTGGTTGACGGACACTGCTGCCTCCCATCATGTCACTCCTGACTTGGGCCAACTGTCGCTCTACTCCGACTATACTGGCCCGGATGAAATCATGGTTGGGGATGGTTCAGGTTTGGCCATTACTCATATTGGGCCGTCCACTGTCTCTCTTGGACCCACTCTGTTACATTTACATGATGTTTTGTGTGTACCGAGCATCAAAAAGCATCTTATTTCAGTTGCTAAGCTTTGTCAATCTAATCCTGTTTCGGTGGGATTTTTCTCCACTCATTTTCTTGTGAAGGATCTTCGCCCGGGGGCGCATCTACTGAGGGGGGAAAACAACGGTGATGTCTACAAATTGCCCAGGGAGGTGGATGCAGTTCGCATGGCCTTGGTGTCCACTCGCACTTCCGCCGGTTCTTGGCATGCACGTCTTGGTCATCCCTCACAGTCTTCACTCATGAGTCTCCTTCGTTCGTATTCTCTTCCTGTTTCGTCATCACTCGCTTGTCCTCCTTGTGATGCATGTCTTTCTAATAAGAGTCATAAACTCCCTTTTTCGATTTCTTCTTTGACTAGTAGTCGGCCGTTTGATTTATTGTACACGGATGTTTGGGGGCCTGCTCCGGTTTCTTCCATTGATGGTTTTCATTACTACTTGATTATTGTTGATCACTTCACTCGTTACACCTGTATTATCCTCTTCGCAAAAAATCTGATGTTCTACAAGTATTTCTTGATTTTAGAAAGATGGTTGAAAATTATTTTTCTACTACAATTCGTCGTCTTTATACTGATGAGGGTGGTGAACTCATCAAGTTACGGTCCGATCTTCTGAGCCGTGGCATCAGTTACCTCCTTACACCACCCCATACCCCTGAACACAATGGTCTTCGTTAGGCTCCCCGTGTTTGGTACACTGCCTTAAGTGCCTTCTTTCTCGAGTTTGGCTTCGTCCGGACTCACTCCGATGCCTCGCTATTTGTCTACTCACGTGGCCCTGTTCTTCTATATTTTTTGGTCTACGTCGATGACTTATTACTCACCGGCAATGACCCCGCCACTCTTACATCCTTCCAGCAGGCTCTCTCGGCCCGGTTTTCTCTTAAGGCGCTTGGGGATGTCAACTACTTCCTTGGTATCGAGGTAATTCCTACCTCAACGGGCTATATTCTCTCTCAAAATAAGTACATGGTTGACCTCCTCCATCGCTTTCTCATGACTGTTGCTAAGCCTGCTGATACTCCGCTTGCTGCCTCCACATCCCTTACTCTGGCTGACGATAGTCCACCCACCGATGCTACCCGCTTCCGCCAGGTCCTTGGTGCCCTTCAGTATTTGGTCTACACACGCCCTAACATTGCCTATTCCGTAAACAAGTTGTCTCAATACATGCATGCTCCCACCACCCACCATTGGCAATGTGTTAAGAGTATACTGCGCTACATTTCTGGCTCCCACACTTTACTCCGACAATCTTGGTGCCACCTATTTCAGCTCCAACCCGGTCTTTCATTCTCGTATGAAGCATCTTGCTCTTGACTATCACTTCGTTCGCCAATTGGCTCAAGCTGGTCGTCTTCATGTCTCGTACATTCCGACCACTCATCAATTGGCGGATGCCCTCACCAAGCCTTTGCCATCCACCCTTTATCTTCTTCTACGAGCCAAGATTGGAGTCATTGACACCTCCTCCATCTTGCGGGGGCGTATTAGAGCTACATAAGTTTCATCTTTTATTATTCTTTTATTTTTCCACTCTCCTGTTCTGTTGCTACATATGAGGGAAGTGCCAACGTGCACCTATTTCCTCTCCTAAATCCTGTATATTAAGAGAACAGAACAATCAATAAAGAATCAAGTCAGTTCTCTCTCAATATCAAATTGCAATCTCTTTCATAAGGGACCCCCCTTAGTCACCTGATCTTAGCCCCTTCATGTCGTGCTTTGTTTGTCCTTGGTGCGCTAGGTTTTCGTGAGTGGTGGTGATGAACGTATAGCCGCGCCATATCCCCAACACCACCATTTTGATATATGACGCCTCCATTAAAGTAGTTTTTATTTCCAATATGAGAGTGACTGAGTGAATGTTATTTGTGGGTAGTATTATGGATTCAGTATTTCTACGTAAACAAATATGAAATACTAGTTTCCATAAAAAAATATATATGTGAAATACTAGTTGAAATGAATGAGATATAGAGCATCAAAAGATAATGGGAAGTGTTTATGTATTATACATAAACTTAGAGTTATGCACATAAACTACCCGTGACAATGTTCACAAAAATGACCTTTTATCTTCCAAATTTTTAAAGAAGAATTCAATTACCTATTGTCACCCTACAAACACAAAATATTATTTTATTTCCAGCATTTTTCCTCCAACGAACACTGCAGCGTTTCTATATACATTTTTTTTTTTTTTTTACTTTGTTAAGGTATCTGTTGTTCATGCATCCGTTAGAATTCCATTCCATAAGCTTTTTTAGTTCTACTACATTATTGGCCTGAAATGATTGAACAACTATGGACACCACATTTTCGCATATATTTGTACTTCAGCTTAGGTAAAGCCGAAGTCATTATGAAATTCATTCGACATAGCTACCTCATTCAGATTTATAAAACCTCTCCTCTCCGATCACTTCTAAATAGTATAGCTCAATATCCAATCAAAATCATCAATTACTTTATGCTTACCACACGTTAAGTTATGTGATGTATTTATCATGTATAGCGACAAGGAGAAACATGACAGTAGTTGCAGTGTCTTTTGTGTGTGTGTTATTGAATTAATATTGGATGGTAATGTGGAGTGGAGGTAGAATGTCTCAATCACTAAAACTTTGTTTTGATATAATTCATGAAAGATTAAGGATAGTGAAATACTAGAGTTGTATAGTTTGGCACTGTAGGACTCCAACTACACATTGATTTAATGCTCATGAGATGCAATTATCTAACTCTTTTGTTTATCTAATCCATGTTTATTTTGTGGATGCTTAGTTATCGAACATGTACGCATTCTCTTGGACCTCCTTCAAGTAAATGTCAATGTTGTGCTATTGTTATGCCAATAATGAAAAAATACATCCCGAAAAAATAACTATGTCACTCCAAAAGCCTCACTTTGTTGTAAATAAATAAAAATCAAACTTTTTGCCTCTTGACATCCCCATCAATTCATTAAGGTTATATTAGAGTGAAATAACAAAGTTGCAAAGCTTTGTAGAGAGTGTATTAAGATCTGTAATGGTATCTTCATATTTAGTCCTATGGGTAATGAGATCCATTAGAGTTTGACTCATGAATGCGGGCTATACGTACTTTTAATTGGGGAAAATATTACCATCATTCAGATAGTCGACTACATTGAAAGATTCAAGTTCTAAGTTTGTTGAGTTATACATTTATCAAAAAATAAATAAGTTGAAAGTTAACTTCGTCCGATAAAGACCATATATGACTTATGAAGTTGAACTTTTTTGGTCAATCTACAATCAGATGGTCAAAAATATGACTTTCAGTAAAGTCAGCATGTATTGACACGTCATAGTCAATTAACTGTTGACCGGACGAAAAGTTGACGGTTTGACTATTAAATTATTTTTGAAAAAGTTTGACTATTATGTTATATTTACCAAAACAAGAACGAATGTAAGTTTTGGGAGTAAATACCCCGTTTGGTCATTGGGTTTACTAAAATGTGTCATGTTTAGTCATTGGAAAAATTTAATACCAATGTTGGTCACTCAAATTAGTAAAACGGTCCACGTTTAGTCACTTTCCATTAGTCTACGTTAACACCGTCATTCAATTGCTTAAGTGGCTAACAGAAGTGCCGACTCAACCTTTTTTAACCCATCACATCACTCAACCCGACCCGCCACATCACTCAACCCACCATATCATCTTTCCCAACCCAATCCTTAAACCCAATCAACATATGAACCGACCACTATATGCCTATCTATTCTCTCTTTGCTTATCCCTCTCTCCAGCTCTGACCGCCATTCCGCTAGGATCTCCAAGATCCGGCACCCGACTCGGCTGTCCCACACCCTCAGCATGTTCCCCGCCATGTTCGTCTCTACCGACACTATCATTGCCGACGACATCGCCGACGCCGAAACTGCCACCTTAATGAAGAGCATCTCGCTCTCTCCCCTGAAAATTGATCACAAATTCGGCTCTCCGTCCAGTCCTAGCCCCAAGTTATCCCAGAGCTTGACTACGTTGCTCGTTGTCCCGTTCTGGAATTCCGACCACGAGAAGAAATCCCCAATGCTGCTGCTCAGCCACCGGAGCCGCTGACCGAATTTCGATGACCCACTAACGCTAAAGTCTTCGTCGCCCTTAGAATCTACCTCTTCCTCTTCAAAATTTCTCATAACTTTCCTCGTCGTACGAGAACTCGGATTCGGACCCAGATTCTGTTTTGGTGTCGTAATCAGACTCTTCCTGCATAAGCATAAATCGCTGCCATTATATGGGATGACTCTGTTGGAACTGAATGAGGAAGATTCTGATTCGGCTGACGATTGTGGTGAAGGAGGCAAATAACAAGGAAACCATTAGGGCGCCTCATTGCCAAACACTATAGGCCTGATAAATTCTCTCGATCCTGGAAGCAGCATAAGCTTGAGAAACTACAGATGGGTTTATCCCACCTGCCTTTGAAGTCGCTTATTCAATTAATCACCGGAACCTCCATTATTGTCCCCGTCGGCAGCAGTTGAGGAGGGATTTTGATGTAGGATAGTCGAGTCGAGTGTCGGATCCCGTAGGTCCTAGCGGAATGGTGGTCGAAGCTGGAGAGAGGGACATGCAAAGAGGGGAGAGAGGGATAGAGAAGAGAGGGACAGACGAAGAGGAGGGTGGCAGAGAGAGAGAGAGAGATTAGAGGGGTCGGTATATAGGTTGGTTGAGTTTAAGGATTGGGTTGAGAAGATGGTGTGGCTGGTTAAAAAAGGGCGAGTCAACACTTCTGTTAGCCACTTTAGCAATTGACTAATAGTGTTAACGGAGACTAACGGAGAATGACAAACTTTGACGATTATTTATATATTTTTTAAATATGACATATTTTAGTAACCCTAGCGACCAAACATGACATTTACCCAAGTTTTGGAGACGAATCCCATCGGCACTCAAGCTAAACAAGCTGAATCACTAGTCATCTCCTTAAATTGACGCATATACCCCTAATTTCATTGTAAATATTGTTTATCATTGCAATTATAATTAAATAAATTATGGAATTTATTTAGTAAACTAATATGTGATTAACTATGATTACCTAAATTACTATAAATATTATTGTGAATGATTAGGGAAAAACTATTGAGTAATGATTAGAGTAAATTTAACATAATTAGGATGGAGTAATAATAATAATAAATATAATTAGGGCGGTCAATAAATTTTTTTAAGACGAATAGGAATAGCAATCACTTTCTACTAGGGGTGTTCAAATGGTTACCATGGTTATAACCAAACCAAATAAGGCTAAATCTCATTAACCATGGAATACAATATCATAACCAAACCGTCCAAACTAATACAACAACCAAATTAACCAAACTAAAGTTTAATCGGTTTGGTTAATTGGTTAACCAGATTAACCAATATAAAATCACATTATCATTGACGATGAAAATTTTCCGGTTAATGCAACAATTCGCAATTTATATAATGAATAAAACATAACAACCAACACGTAGTTATAGTTGACCCTTAACAAAAATACATGCAACTAAGACAATTATCTTACGATTAGTATAGAAGTATTCACCTAACAAAAATTTATGACAATGGTATGGGTTAATGAATTGTTGTGTTTGTGTAAATTGACTTAGTCTCTTAGCAATTATCATAGGTTGAAAATGACCTTCCTTTCAAGTTTCCATCCATCATAATGTATTAAATTTATCTAAATTAGGCGTCCATATGTTGCGGTCTACATTTTACATATACAAATATACACTATATGAGCAATATTGAGCTTTATATTTTATGAGTCTAAAAGGGATGAACGTAACTCTTGAGTGGTTATGCAAAGTATTAAGCAGTGTTATTAAAGCCGAGTCGAGCCGCTCGGTCCGATCAGTAAAACCGCCACTCGGTCACAAAACCGGCTCGAAACAGTCTAAAAGCTGCTCCGGTTTTATGTAGCGGTTGACGAGCGGCTGAGGCGGTTAACCATTCAAGCCGATCGAGCCGCTCGTCCGGTTTTTGCCATTCATCCGTTAAATTTAATTAAAAAATTGCATAAATTAAAAATTGAAATAAACAAAAAACGTCAGGCTCTCAAACTGAATCCTTATTTCCATTTTTTCAATTTCGAAGGAAAGAGACGAGCTCTGATTAAGAAACATCCACTATTTATACTGATAATGTTTATTAGGTACCGGTTCTCTAACGATTTTTAAACAGTCTAATGCCGGTTGGACCACTAAAGTGCGAGCCGTTCGCATTGTTGGGTCATGCTCCGGTTCGGTTCTGACAATATTGGTATTAAGTATGTGTATGTAATATATGTTAGATATATGACTAATTACTTAACTGGTTAATTTGGTTTGACTGGTTAGGAGTGTCTGAAACCAAACCAAATCACCTAAACCAAATAAGCTAAAAACATTATCCAAACCAAACCAAACCAAACCAATTATCTAAATTAACCAAACCAAATTATCCAAATAGTACCGGTTAAAACGGTTACCATGATAACCAAACCGTTTGAACACCCCTACTTTCTAAAAAAAAAAAGGAATAGCAATCACACACTAAACAAGTACACAAGCTCACTATGCAGTAAAGTCAATTACGAACTAGGGTTAATTACATCAATCCCACCAAACTGCGTTCTCATTCTTTTGTTGCTCGCGAATCGCCTTGCCTCCAGATTCCGTCGGCGTTGAGTGCTGTCGATAGCATGCTTCTGTTCGGTTAAGTTTTCGGTGAACTTGCTTAGTTTAGGGTTTCAATTAAATGGAGGGCTGCCGTGCTACAGCTAGTTCTCAGGCCATTAAGCCGATAAACAAAGGCGTAGTTCATAGGATCTGCGCGGGGCAAGTAATTTTGGACCTTTCGTCTGCTGTGAAGGAACTAGTAGAGAATAGCTTGGACGCCGGCGCTACTAGCATCGAGATCTGTCTCAAAGAATACGGCGAAGAGCGGTTTCAGGTCATCGACAACGGATGCGGTATCTCTCCGGACAACTACAAGGTACGCCCTTTTTGTTAGTTCTGTATGTATGAGCAGGTTAGCCGATGCCTTTGCTGTTATGTTTTTAGCTCCTTGATATTTTATCTTTCCCCTAGGTTGTCGCACTTAAGCATCACACTTCAAAGATGACCAATTTCACGGATCTTCAATCTCTGACAACATATGGTTTCAGAGGGGAGGCGATCAGCTCTCTGTGCGCGTTAGCAGATGTTACCATTGAGACCCGAACCAAGAATGAGACTATAGCTGCTCATCTTAGTTTCGATCATTCCGGTGTACTGATTGGTGAAAGGAAAACAGCGAGGCAGGTTGGGACCACCGTGACGGTTACGAAGCTGTTTTCCAATTTACCAGTGAGAAGCAAGGAATTCAAGCGAAACATACGCAAGGAATATGGGAAGCTTATTTCTTTGCTGAATGTAAGCGTTTCCTTCTTCCTCTTATGTTCTTTTGCTTACCCAGTGTCTTTGCTATTCTCCTCTCTGGCTCTGCTGATGGTCTGGGATGCATCTAGTTATAAGCTCACTTTCGTATCCAGAAACATGTATTGCTATAGCCCCATGCTGATAGTATTTGCTAAATTGTGTGTGATCTATTGATTTAGCTATACAGTAATGATTGCTGTGGCATTTGTTTTACGTGATGCATTCCTATTCATTGAGTTCCTTTTCACCACGAAACTGCTTTCTGTATTACTACTATTCTATCCTCGAGGAGTTGGGATGCATGATTTAGTTTTCATGACAGCATGTGATATACTTATTGAGTGAAAGAGCATCTTACCATCCATCCATATTGTACTGCTGTTCACAATTCTCTTCTTAATATCCAGGCATATGCACTTATTGCTAAGGGCGTTCGATTTGTTTGTAGCAATACAACTGCCAAAAATGCAAAGTCCGTGGTACTGAAAACGCAGGGAAGTGATTCATGGAAGGACAATATTACAACTGTTCTTGGTGTGAAAATATTCTGCTGCTTACAGCCCGTGAATATCGATATGCCAGATGGCTGCAAGGTTGATGGCTTCGTTTCTAAACCTGGACAGGGGAGTGGTCGTAATTTGGGAGATAGGCAGTACATTTTCGTAAATAGCCGTCCAGTTGATATACCTAAGGTCAACAAACTTGTCAACGAGTTATACAAGGCTGCCAACTCCAAGCAATATCCTATTGTGATTATGAATTTCAGTCTGCCAACCAAAGAATGCGATGTCAATGTCACTCCTGATAAAAGAAAAGTATTCCTTTCTGCTGAGACCTCCATCCTGCTCGCTCTCAGGGAGGGTTTGAATCAAATTTATTCCCCTACTAGTGCCTGTTATACTGTCAATAACTTTGGGGATAACACCAAGGTACCAGATAGCATTAAGTTGTCTTGTTCCGAGAGAAAGCCTCCGTTCCTGGCAAATCAAGGGTCTTCTGCAGATCACACAGGCAACATGGAGATTCATGTGGATGGGCATGGGACAGAGGGAAGTAGTCCTCTTGATGGTGTCGAAACTGAACCTGGGCCATACGATATCAGCAAAAGATTGATTGGTAGTGTTGATGAGGAGTTTGCAATGAAGGGATACTCTCTCGGAATGCATCGGCTTAAGAACAGTGATTTGTCAAGTAAGAGTACAAAAGACACAAGCCGCCTCAATGTTGAGATGAATCAAAATTCTTCATCAGCCAGTGGAGTTATTGAGAAAGTTTTTCACAATAAAGATTGCAGTGTTCCTCTATCCACTGTCCAATCAACACTAAATAAGTTTGTAACGGTAAATAAGAGAAAGTATGAAGATATTTGTCCAGCAGTATCCGAAATTCCTCTTCTAAGGGAACAAATTGGTCAGTCTACTCCGAAGAAAGGAAATTCTGGTATCTGCGGGAAAGATAAATGCCTCTGTCTTAGTCATTCCCAAAGTGGTTGTACTGATAAATTGAGCGAGAACGAGACATCCAAGAACCTCACAGCTGTTAAGTTGAGTGATTCATTACTGTTTGGAAGATCTGCAAGTGATGATAAAGGGAGAAAGGCAAGTATGATTTAATTAATTCCCTTCCAAATGAATTATCATGATAGTTAACGTGTGCAAAACATATGCATAATGGCCATTTCTGTAACAATTACGTTCAATATACAATTAACTTTTACTGATTTGTACTTAGGATGCTGGAGTTGAAGGGAACACATTATTTACTGTGGAAGCTTCTGGGGGAGTTTCAAATGCGATGGTTGATACTCCAGTGCTCCCCTCTTCAAACAAGAAATGTTCCACGGTGCGTTTTAGTTTTCAAGATATGAAAGCAAAGAGGAAGCAGATACTTTCAAGATTGAAGTCCCACAGCTGTGCTACCGACAGCTATAAGATTAAAAGGTTTATTAATTGATAGTTCCTTTTGAAGTGGGAAACATGACAAATTCTGCACTCTTATCCATCAACTTGTTTATATGTCTGTTAGTCACCGGAGCTATGCTGCTGCCACGTTGGAGGTTTCTCAGTGTGATGACGAGGAGCGTAAATCTAAAGCTTTGGCGGCTGCAACTACTGAGTTGGACAGACTTTTCAAGAAAGATGATTTTGGCAGAATGAAGGTGGATTTGGTTTCCTATTTTAGCTCGATCCGCACCCTTAGCTAATTTAATACCAACGTCAATCCCAACCTCATGAAGCTTGGGGATGTGCCTATGTATAGGTGTGCCATTATTTGCATATAAATTTAAGGTTTCTAGAACTAAGTCAATCTCGAATATTGAGATGCTATGATGTAGAACCTGCTTTTCAGCAAGGATGCACTTAATGATGACTCTTGTTCATCATAATTGGTGTTAGCTTGTTCTTTTTCGACAGGTGATTGGACAATTTAATCTTGGATTTATCATCGGTAAGTTAGATCAAGACTTGTTCATTGTGGACCAGGTAATTTTCTTCATCACAATCTGCCGTATCCCGTTTCGTGGGATCTGCATCCCCTCAATACATGAAAAATAATAACTGTCCATATTCTTCTAATTGGGTCCTCAATTTCTCAGTATATTCTATGTATATACTTCTGCAGCATGCTGCCGATGAGAAGTACAATTTTGAGCGGCTGTGCCAATCAACCATCCTGAACCAGCAACCGTTGCTTCGGTAAGGAGCTATGGTTGTTGCTTGAATTCTGATGAATGATGATTTATTTGGTGTGTGGTGTTTACTCTTATGCTGATTCTTGGGATTTCCTCCTGCCCTGAACTGCAATGAATCTTACAACTTGCATGCATAGGGCGTTGAGGTTAGAGCTCACTGCAGAGGAGGAAGAAGTCGCAGCAATGAACATGGGCATAATCAGGTGGTTTTTAATTCCTAAGCTTTCTGTAAGCCTGTTTCCTTGTTTACTTTGCTGATAAGTTCTTATCAGGAGAAATGGGTTTTCTTTGGAAGAAGACCCAAATGCGCCCCCAGGATTCCGTTTCCAACTGAATGCTGTTCCTTTCAGCAAGAACATAACTTTTGGAGTTGAAGGTAGTCTCTGGGTTTTTTCCCCCCTTCTTTCTTTAACCTTTTGAGTTGTTCTGCTTCATTCTTAAGTTGGCATTATAGAGTAAATTGTAGGTAGATGGCCAAGTCACTTAGGCCAGTAGCTGTAAGTTGCTATGTTGAGACAATGGAATGGACTAGTATAAAGTATGGTGAACCTTTTCAACTGCATGGGGTGAGCAAAACATGTGCCCTGCGAACATATGCTGTCGTGGAATCCCTAGAGGTGTGAATGCTAATTTGGCTTTGTCAACAGATGTGAAAGACTTGATTTCTACTCTAGCTGATAGTGAAGGCTCAGTAATCAGCAGCTACAAAATGGACACCATTGACTCTGTGTGCCCACTCAGAGTAAGGACAATGTTGGCTTCGCGTGCATGCCGATCGTCAGTTATGATAGGCGATCCGCTAGGCAGGAACGAGATGAGGAAGGTAATAATAATCAGCCCTTAATTGTCTCATTTCTAGATGGATTGTGTAGAAAAATTCTGAACCCTTGAATTCTGAGAATACGAAATGAAAGACAGTAGTAGGGAGAGAGGCAGAGAGCTGTAACTAATGCTCAACTCTGTCATTTCAGATAGTGGAGCATTTGGCGGGTCTAAAATCGCCTTGGAACTGTCCTCATGGCCGGCCAACCATGCGCCACCTAGTTGACTTGACATCTATCTACCTTAAATCTCTCAACGCCTTTACTTAAATTTATTTTGTAATAGGGCTGTTACTGACTTACTGTAAAAGCTTCTCTGTCAGTTTCTTTCTACGTGTAAGATACATTGATGGTGACTGTTTTCTTGGTGTTCTGGATTTGTTTCAACTTTCAATCCAATGCTGACTGGTGAGCAGTGATAATTTTCACAGGGTGTTCTCTTCAAAAATAAAATAAAATTATATAATAAATTAAATAATTCGTATATTAAAAATATCATACTTGTATAATTTTTATAAATTTTTTTATTAAATAATAAATTAAAATTCATATTTTGAAAAAAAAAAAAATAATAAAGTTCATGTCTGCAATGTTCAAAAAAATCTACATATCCTACTAGATAATACTTCACGAACTTATCACATATTCGATTTCTAACCTTGTTCTTAATGTAGCTCAAAGTAGAAAAAGACTCTTTCAATCGTGTGTAACCATAAAATCAATTCAAAATTAAGGGTAGCGTGTACGTAGTTTAATTATTAGGTATTGAAAATAGTCGGGGATAAAGAAATAGCGTTTTACTGTTGCATGATGTTTAAAATAGAATAACGAATGAGTAGCAACATAATTAGAATATGTTTGATTATAGTAGTGTCTTAGGTTGGAATAACAAGGACTACCACTTATATTTTGTTAATCATAAGCAAACTATTATCGAGGGTAGGATAATCATTTTTTCAAATATTAGGTTGTCTCGGATTACCAATTATATTTTCTATACCCATACGAAACTAGTACCGGAGGTTGGATAATCGTTTCCCCAAATTTTAGGGGTGTCCCGGGACACCCTAGAGGCCCATGTATCCGCCCCTGCTGGTGAGAGAGTTGTATGGAGAAGCAAGGGCTTAACAATCATTTTGCTAATTTATTAGAAGTAAATAATTATTAGCGAAACCTACCCGCCTTTTTTCTATTAGCCAAAATTTCACTTCCTCATAGCAATTTCAATAGTAATATAGTAATATCGACTTGTTAAACATTATGCTAATTTGGAAGAGACACATGAAGGTAAATATTCAAAAATTTTACTATTTTAATTAAAAAAAGAGTTACAAATTTATTGACGGTGATAGAAAATGGCTAATATTTTGATCCATTATAAAAGATTTGACTAATTATTAGTAATTTACGAGGTTTGGTTAATTAAAAAGAATGCGTAAAAAGTTTGGCTAATAATTTGACCTTATTCAAAATTTTGTTTTCTTAGTCTTGGGAGAGTTTTGCCTTCTTTTCATCATTTCAAAATCCATTAACTCTGGTACTTAGGGCTAAATTGTAAGTTCCAACTTAGAACTTAATCTTTGAACTCTCCTTAATTATGGGTAGGGGTAAATTGCAAGTTCCAACTTAGTATTTACCCTTATTCATATTTTCGTTTCTTAATCTCCCTATTGAGAGTTTTGCATATTTTTCATCATTTCAAAATCTCTGAACTCTTCGGTAGGGGTAATTGTAAGTTCCAACTTAGAACTTAAATATCATTTTACTGAAAAAAAGAGAACCGAAGTTCTTTCAGATGAGAGTCCATATGCCTAACCAACTTGACTACATGAAGGTTTGTGTTTTTTGAATTAAAGTTTAAAATATCTAAATATTTCGAAATCAAAGAACTATCCACTGCAACAATCAATCATCGAAGTAACTGATAACTTTGATTTTTTTACGAAGTACTTCATCATGACAAACCTAACTTTATAAATTAACTAAGTGAGTTCGCCTAATCACAACATCTTCACAAAGAATCCAATAAATTATTTTTGAGTTTATGTATTACATCTTATAAACTTTTACTTTGATTAGGTTACATGACTTTGTAGGAATACAAAGATTATTTTATAAAAGTGCTATAATTTTTTTTATTTCAAAACATAAAATTTGACATTTGATGATCTATGATTTTGTAACGAGATATTTTCAATGCTATAAGCGAATGACAAAAAAACATTGGCTAACAATTGCCCTGACAGTTGAAGATCATATACATAGAAATGAAAGACTAAATATCATTGACAAATGAATCCAACATCATTGGCTAAATTTAACAAACAATGTTGTGTGTATATGCATCGGAAATTCTATGTAAGCTTGATGAATTGGAGGTTATTGCATCTCATTAGTTAAATAACATTATGTAGACCATGAATTAATCACGTAACTAAACCATATATCGTATTTCTTTAAATCCTAATATAGTGCATATGGTATGTTGGATATATATCTTGACGAATGAGAATCATTGATTATGTTCTTAGTTGTGTGTATATGCATCGGAAATTCTATGTAAGCATGATGAATTGGAGGTTATTGCATCTCATTAGTTAAATAACATTATGTAGACCATGAATTAATCACGTAACTAAACCATATATCGTATTTCTTTAAATCCTAATATAGTGCATATTGTATGTTGGATATATATCTTGACGAATGAGAATCATTGATTATGTTCTTAGTATGTGTGATCTTAGGGTTTAAGTTCTATAGACTTAGGGTATATGATTTTAATTATTTGAGTTAAGGGTCTAGGGTCCACTCATTTGAGGTTCAATGTTTAGTGAATTATGGTCTATGATTACATAGTGATAAAATATCTTAACTAAGAAAATATCTTAATGTTCTAAGCCAATTAAATCTTCATTTATGGGTTGGACGAAGCATTACTTGAATCATTGTTAATTCGTATGTTAAATGTTGAGAACTTTCACCACAAATTTATGATAAGTTAAAGCAAGAGCTCACGTTACTTGATTGAACAAATGAATTTAACTGAAAATGTTGAAAACTAAAGGAATAGATAAATAACTATGAGAGAGTATGGAGAGGAAAAGACACAAGGTAAGAGAGGGGAAGAGTTCTTCTTATTCCATTTTATTCCTTTGTATAATGGGGAGCTCTATTTATAGGCACATATACATAACCTTCACATTCTCCTTTATCAATGCACATAAATGTGATATAATAACCATGAAGATGATTCATTTCCATGATTAATGTAGGGAGGTAATTACCTCCTAACATCCCATATGGAATCCAATGTAGCATCCATTGGACATCCACCATACTCTATTGTTTGATAACACTCCCCCTTGGATGTCCATCTATTGAGAATATGCCTCATTAAAACCTTACTAGGAAAAACCCTATGGGATAAAATCCTAATGAAGGAAAAAGAGTACATATGATGACTTGATATTTGCACATGTTTTCCCCTTTGCTTCTTGATCGTTTAAGCTTGCATTATCGCTTCTTTGGCCTATTTTGCGCTAGGTTTTGTTCCTTTGTCACATTTCAGGTCCTAGCACCTACAGTGAAGGGTAGGCGCAAGTTTCAAGTCAATTGGAGATCAATTGGCGACTCGGGGGAAGAAATTCGGGTATGACTTGAAGAAGAATGGATTTCTACCTCAGTTTGTGACCATATAATCATGTAAACTTATAATGAGAAGAAAGAGGACGAGACTACAAGCGTCTGGGATCAAACGACACCTAATTTGGAGTCCGAACGAGGGAGAAACGAAGAATCAAAGATAGGGAACTCGGAACTGCAAAATACCCGACCGGGTATTTTGACCATCTGATAGGGTATTGACCCCTTTGGTGCTGCGCTGCGTTTCAAAATCCCTGGCCGGGCACCTGAAATACCCGACCGGGGATCGCGAGCAGCTGGTTCTTAAGGGAAAAAAGGCCAACTTTTAAAGGGTTCCGAGTTTTAGAGAGAAAAAGTTGATACCTAGAGAGAGGGAGAGAGTGACAAACCTTATTCTTCAAGCGCCCTAGATCGATCTTCATCACCATTGGAGCCCGGTTTGAGCTTGAAGGAGTGATGATTGATTGCCAGAAGCAGAACCCCATCCTTCACAGTATGGTTTCTGCATCTGAGCTAGATTTCCCTTCTCTCTCTATGGACTAACTTTCTCATTCACCTGGGTATGAAGAACCCTAGATTTGTATGTTAGGTCTGATTGTATGAACCCAAGTACGAATTCAGTGATATGATTATATTCAATTGAGGTTTGATTTCTTGAATGGCATGAATCCTGATCAAATTCCTGTTATTTCTGCTTTGACCTACAAAGAGAATATCTGCCTAGATTGATAGAGCACCCTTGATTTAAGGAAGTGAATTGATGACTTTAGTCGAGGAGTCAATTCACTATTATGTACCGGATTTACTTCAATAGAGGAGGTTTGGTTCGTTAGGGCCTCAATCTGTTTACTCCGGTGGAGGTTAGTCGCCCGCTGGGGACTCAGATTGAGAGGGTTTGGAGACCTTTAGTCGAGACTGCAGACTGTTTAAGAACCTCCCGCAGTATAACTATCATTGAACTTGAACTTGGTAAATTTCAACCTGGCTTAACTGCAGTCTAGGGGGAACCATATTTGGGTGACCTCTCTCAACTTGAACACAACTTTCACTGCTTTGCTTGCTAGTTTAACTAAACCTTCACTACATTTGAACCGCTAGATGACAAGACTTTCACGGAGTAGTCATCACACCTAGGACCCGGGTTGACAATTAGAACTGAACCCGCTATAGTACGCATTAGTAGGTGGTTACACTTGGCCACTTTCTAGTGTGACGGTAGAGGCGTGTCAACATAATCATCATAATACACTATCTGAAACTGCATCGTTAAAACTCTTATCAGGAAAACCCAGTGGGAAAACCATGGTTAAGGGAAAAGAGTGCAGTGCGTATATGCTCCCCCTCATGACAACATCAAAGTGTAGTTTTGTGAACATAACTTCCAAATATAGTCATGGTAAGTTTCTTAGTGAACAAATCTTCTAGATTGTCACTTTATGCATGATCCATTAGGACCATTTTCTTCATACATGATCTTCAGGATCAATTTTTATGAAGATAATCCACAACCACAAGTCATATAGACGTGTTGGATCACAAATCTTAACCAAACAATTCATAACAAGTCTCATGAATTGTTGACCATTGTGCATAATCAGATGATGTTGGTATTGTGATTTCTTTGGAATCTCAATGAGATACTTGTACGACCATAAGTAAACAAATTACTCTTCTATGATCCTCATTGTTACCTATAGGTAACGAAGTATAAATCAATGAAGTATAGCGAGATACATTTTCGCTCTAACAAAATTAACATACGGTACTTCAGGACCTAATAATTCACTTCTATCTCAAGGCCCAAATTGATCTTTGTTCACT